CCTGTTGTCTCCTGCCCACTTCCATAGTCTGTCCAGATCCTTTTGGATCTGGAGTACCTGCTCCTCAGTTGTGACCACTGCTCCAGTTTTAGTGTCGTCTGTGAATTTGATCAGCAGACTGTTCACCCCTTCTTCCATGTCATTTATCAAAAGATTAAACAGGACTGGCCCCAGGACAGAGCCCTGGGGGACCCCACTTGTCACTGACCGCCATCCCGATGATGCCCCACTAATGCTTACCTTCTGCTTTCGGTCAGTCAACCATGCCCTAATCCACCGGACAGTGCTTTGGTGTATCCCAAAACTCCTCAGTTTCTCCACCAGGATATCATGGGGCACTTTGCCAAAGGCCTTGCTGAAATCCAGGTATACCACCTCCACTGCATCCCCTCCATCTAGCCATCGCAAAACCTTGTCATTGAATTCCACAAGGTTTGTCTGGCAGGACCTGTTTTTGCGGAAGCCGTGTTGTGTGGCTGTCAGCCTCCCTCCCCTATCTAGCATCACTAGATCTCTCTCTATTATGAGCCTTTCCATTGTTTTTCCTACAATGGACGTAAGGCTAACCAGTCTATAATTCCCCATGTCCTTTCTACTACGCTTTATGAAAATTGGGACCACTGATGCCACCCTCCAGTCCTCTGGAACTTCACCCGTTCTCCACGAGGTCTCAAAACTGGACGCCAGCGGGCGTGAGAGAACCCCTGCCAACTCTCTAAGTACTCTCAGGTGTAACCCGTCAGGGCCTGGCGCCTTTGTAATGTCCAATGCCCTGAGGAGCCCCTCGACTTCAAGGGGGGTGACTCTAATCTGTGCCCCTAAGTCCCCAGCCTCATCTAATCTCCTATGCGGATCTCCCCCGTCCTGCTTTGGGGAGAACACAGAGGCAAAAGAGTCATTTAGCATCTGTGCCTGTTCCCTCATATCAGTCACTGGATCTCCTTCCTTAGTTAGTGGTCCCACCACTTGTCTCCCCTTCCTCTTCCTATTTACATGCTGAAAGAAGCCCTTTTTGTTGCTCTTGATATTCTTGGCAAGTCTCAGCTCGTAATCAGCCTTAGCCTTGCAAAGAATCCTTCTGCAAAGGGCCTCCTCCTCCCGGTATACCCTTTTGTCTATTTCCCCCAGTACCCATTTCCTACGGAGGTTCCTCTTTCGTCTAATTCCTCTAACCACCTCCTTTCGCATCCATGGTGGCACTCTCCTCTGCCTCCCCACCTTACCAACTAGAGGTATCGTCAAGGCTTGCGCCTCCAAAACCTCCCTTTTGAGTGCTATCCACCCCTCCTCAACTCCCTTGCCTTCCAGTAACCTATCCCAGGAGACTTTCCCCACTCTGGCCTTCAGTTGGCCAAAGTTGGGCCTCTTTAAGTCCCAGCTTCTAGTGCTCGACCTGCTGCCCGTCCACAGTCCCCTGATCTCAAAGCAAAGGATGGAGTGATCACTCGCATCCAGAGCTCCCCTAATCTGTAATTCATCTATCAGCTCCTCCCTATTGGTCAAGACCAAGTCAAGAATGTTTCCCCCCCTCCTTGTCACCTCTCGGACCCTCTGTGTGAAAAACCCTCCCTCTATAGCTTCTAGGAAGCGACGTGACCTGTCTGTCACTGCCGAGTGAGTCTCCCAAGTAATATCCGGGAGACTGAAATCTCCCATAATTACTGTGTCTCTCCCCTGAGATATCCTTAGAATCTGGCCTGTCAGGACATCATCCAGGGTCTCAGGTTGACCTGGAGTGCGGTAACATACCCCCACTGTCAGGTCTCTTTTCCTGTCAAAACTCCTAAGTTTCACCCAGACTGCCTCTACCGAATCCCCATCTGTGCTGCAATCTATCTCACTGCATCCTATCCCTTCCCTGATGTATAAAGCCACGCCCCCACCTCTCTTTCCCTTCCTGTCCTTTCTAAAAAGGTGATACCCTTCTATGTTCACATTCCAGACTTGCCTTTCATCCCGCCAAGTTTCTGTGATTCCACCAGATCATACCCTCCTATTCCCAGGAGAGCTTCAAGCTCTTCCTGCTTATTACCCATGCTCCTTGCATTGGTGTACATGCACCTCAGCTCCTTCCGACCGCTTCCTTTCCTTGGAGTTCCCAGCCTCCTCCTTCCTCCCATCCTCCCTGATACCTGGCCCCTCTCTGTAGGAGTCCTGTCAGTCCCTGCAGTATCTCTAAAACCCTGCTCCCAGAGCCCTGATCCTCCCCCCACACTTGTCCAGTACAGACACATTACTGGGGGGCCTGAACCACCCCCCCCCGGCTCAGTTTAAAGTCTTCCAGATGAAGCTCGCTAGAGCATCTCCAAAGGACCTTTTCCCCATCCTCGTGAGGTGTAACCCGTCCCTTGCCAGAAGTCCATTGGCAAGAAAACGAGTGCCGTGGTCGAGGAACCCAAAGCGTTCCTTCTGGCACCACACCCTAAGCCAGTCGTTCACCTCGGAGGCCCTCCTGTCCCTTCCTGGCCCAAATCCCCTGGACAAGTAAGACTGATGAGAAGGCCACTTGGGCCTTCAGCTCCCCGAGTTTCTTTCCCAAGGCCTCAAAGTCCCTGGTGGTCCTAACCACAGCCTGCCTGGCCACATCGTTTGTGCCCACATGGATCACCAGGAGTGGCTGGTGATCCCCGGAGCGAACAAGACGCTCCACTCTGTTCTTCACATGCCGGATGCGTGCGCCCGGCAGGCAGCAAACCTCCCTTGTCTCCAGGTTGGGGCGGCACACCGCCGGCTCAGTGCCCCTCAGCAGGGAGTCCCCAACAACAATCACCTGCTGCCGTACCTTCCCAGTGCTGGTGGGCGGCCGTGCCCTGGCCCTCGCCTCTCCCGCAGTGGCCCCCTTGCCGCCTGACATCCCAGGCTGGGGGTCCTGCTGGTCCCCCGAGGCCTCATCAGCCCCAGCCTCCCCAAGTGGAGAGAACCAGTTTCCCAGCTCCAGACTGGTGCCAGGAGAAGGAGGAGGCCATGCTGGCCTCTCCCTCCTGTGAGTGACATGCCTCCATGTCTCCCCGGCTGCTCCTCCCGTGGCCTCTCCCTCAACCCTCTGTCCAGAGGGGGGCTGCTCCCGGGGGGGCTGGACAGCTCTCTCGGCCCTCAGGCACCTCACCTCCTCTTCTAGCAGGGTCACCATCTTGCACCGAGGGAAGTGTAGCCCTGCCTCTCCTGGGGGAGAAGGGCGAACATGTCGCAGCTCTCGCAGCGGACAGCAACACCCGTGGCTCCCGCCAAGGCCATCTCCTGGTCTGCCACTGGGATCCCTTCCGAGACCTTACCTTGGTCCTGCTTTGTTTGTCCTGCAGTTCCTCTCACTCGCCCAGTTCTCCCAGACAAAAACCCACTCGCACGCACACACAAGGATAAAATAAACTTAAATTTAAATTGGAAGAAAAACAAAGCACAGCACACACAAACAAAACAATCAATCAAACAAACCTCTGTGTCTCAGGGAAGGGAGTCTCCGGACAGCCCGGGCCACAGCCAAGGGACGCAGACAAGGAAGACGCCTTATCAGCCCCTCCGGCCGGTGGCCCTGCCCCCTGCTTCCTCCCGGCCCCTCCAGCCCCTCTGGCCCCACCCCCTTCCTCTCCGCTGCTCCTGGCCCCCTGCTCCCCTGCCCAGCTCCTGCCTTGCCTTCACCAGTCCCCTGGCCACTCAGCCTCTCTCCCAGCCTCTGCCTCTGCTGCTCTGCCAAGAGGCCAGAGCCAAAAAGCTCTGAAAACGCTCCTCTTCACCCAGGCTTTCCCTAGTTTACAGGCCCTTCTTGCTGCTGCCTGTGCTGCTACAAATTATTGTATTTGGAAATACATTTTAAATGCGATTCGAATATGTATACATGAACCACTTACAGATTTTATTCTGCTAAGTGGTATAGAAGAATCACAGATAAAAACGGTAAGTACATCGAAATCAGTACACTGAGTCATGCCTGGAAACCGCCTGGCAGCCAGTGACGTTCTTCTAGCAGGGAAGGCAGCTGCTTCCCGTAACTGGGCCTGGGCCACAGTCTGGCTGCAGCATTCCAGATCAGTTGGTCTAACCAGTTTTCAAAGGAATAAAAATATGTGGAATTTTAATTGTTTGTTTTCAGGCATTTACAGACCACCACAACAGCCACGTGGCACTCTGGACGGTTTATATACTCCTGTGGAGTATGTTACAGCGGTCCAAACACGATGCAACTGACGCATATTTCGCCATGCCTGAGATGCACAGTTGTACACCTGGCCAGAGCCTGGGCATGCAGGATCAGGGCTGAATCCAGAGGTACAGCCAAGCTGTGGGAGCAAGTCTCCAAAGAAGAAGCGACCCCATCGGGCACAGGCCAAGCCTCTATTCCCTGATCTGCCTTTTGACCGACCAGGAACGCCTCTGCCTCTTCTAGGTTAAGCTTGAGTTTGTTCGCCCTCATCCAGTCCATTACTGACACTGATTCAGAACAAGAAGATCTATCTTGGACTGAGACGGTAAGGAAAGATTATGTTAATTATGATTGTTGCATGGAAGCAATTAACACGTGGTTTTGGAAACACAAATAGCTACTGTATTTAGTTTGAGGGGAACTGAGCTAGAAGGAAGTTAACTCCCCCCTTCAGCAATCATTCCCCCCCCCCCAGCTGCCACCAGGCTCAAGAAAGATCCTGCTCAGGGAGCGGGGACACAGAGCAGCTATTTATAGCGTTTTAATTATACATTTGCTTTCATGGGACTAACACATAAAGCATAGCTTAGTCTTCACAGCGATCCGAGGCAGCACAACGAGGTGCTAGGAAACACCTCGTACAAACCTCTGCGGTGCACACGCATGTGCAAGTACAAGATTCTGTGTGACCCCCATAAGAAGCGGCTCGCATGCTTCTGAGTCAATTCTGGGCATCTTTAGCAGAACAGACACGCTGTAAGAACGCCACACCCTCCCATGCCGGACGCAGAAGTTAGCTGTTGAAATCAAAACGCTTTCCTCGGGATCGAGAGGAATCGAAAGAAATGCACCAGTCTCTCACCCATCCCTGAATCTTTCTTTGTGCCGTCCGATATGATATCCACATGATCACTGTCTACATCGTAGCTGAAGAAGTCATTCAAGTACGTTTTCGACCTCTGTCCACCAAACACATACAGGCAACGGTTTTTCTGAGAGGAAGAAATCAAAAACATTTCAGTGCACGTGTTTTGGTGCTTGATGCACAGAGTTTCTGGGCGCTGAGCTCTGGTCCGGGGGCTCATGCCACCCACACACCACGCTTTCAGAATCTTCTGAACAGCAGCTCTCAAGTCAAACTCCTCTTTAACTCAGAAGAAGTTGACAGTAGTTCAAGGATTCGCTGGGATGCGGCTTTAAAAAGAACTACTCAGAAATACTTGTGCTGTGTGTAGGACCCATTACTCACATCAGCACAATTAGTCAGTGCAGCTCGATGGCACTAGCTAGCAAAGCTCCGAGGGGCAGAGCTGGTCCCTCAGGCCACCGCCTGAGGAATGGAGAATGGAAGCATGAGATGATTGCGAGAGGCACACAGAAAGCAAACAAAAGGACTAAGGAGCTTTTATACTTGCGTAAATCTAAGTTTAAATGGGTATCTGGTGTATTTGCTATCCTTTGAGAGAGGGCCAGCAACTGCTTAAAGAATTTAGTGGCTCAGTTGCCCATTAACTGAATAATTAAGGGATTACATTGATTGAACTTGGAAGTCTGTTGTACAGCAATATGTTTGAACTAGATAATAACATTTAATAACAGATTCACATCAAAACCAAAAAGAGAAACGAATATTCTGATGATTGTCGCTGTTGTCTACTACACCCCCACCCACGAAATCATTCTAACGGCTAAAAATAAGTAACTGGACCAATTTTTATTATGCGTGTGAAAATACATAGTAAAGACTAGCCTCCTGGACTGAAAAGGGCCCCCCGAAATTCCTCCACTAGAGCTCTGTAAACAGAGGAGAAGCAAAGCCCTCAAACGTGCTGATTCACACAGGCAAAGCTGTGCTTCACACAGGTGTGCCCCCAGAGTACTGAAGATCCCATAAATCAAATACCTACGTAACACCAGAACACTACTGGTGTTATGATATTAAAGCAGGTTATGATATTAAAAGGGAACACCTTTCATTTTAATAAAGAAAAGCTGGTATTTATTTGGAAGAAAGGTGCATGTTCGTATTTTCTCTTCGTGCTGGTTATAGGAACAAGCAGAGCTTGAAAGAAACAAAAAGACATGCCCTTTGTCCGCAACCGGGCAGTTACGACTGCTCCCGACCAAGCGATAAACATTTTAGTTGATTCATCTACTAATTAACTTCAGGCCTATTTTTAAAATATCGCTGAGGAGAACTTAGGTGGTGCTAGTTCTTACTGAGTGGAACAGCATGCAGTGCCCTATCCTCGACTGGATGTCCTCGGGGCCAGCATTGCAGGAGTCTTCCCGCAAGAGCTTCCACATCTGGCACCGACAGTCAAAAGCAAAGAGACCACTGAACTGCGGCTCACTGGCTCGGCTGTCGTCCACGCTTCCGTTGCATGTCAGAATCCTTCCTCCAAAGGTGTAGATCATGTGTTTCTCAGAATCCATGCACATCTGCAAAGAATGAGGCATTTTCTTCAAAAAGTCACTCACACAATAAGCTTCAACATGGTCTTTTAAATTAAAGGCCCAAAAATAGCAGGGTTGCTCACTAAGATTTGACCACTGAATAGTCTTTCAGCCCCTGGAGTTGTTCTGAGAATGTCAATTCAGAAGGCCCTCCATTCTTCAAAAAGATGAGTTCAGCGACCACAATGGGAACAGAACTGTGATGCAGCGAACGGTGTGACTCAAGAGGCAGAACTGCGACGTCCCAAAGACTCCGTTCAAATTTTGCAACAGGCCATTAATAGCTTTCTCAGGGGAAACCGTCTTGCTGAAGATTAGAGGGGGCTCTAGGCGGCCACATGACTTGAAAAGGAAGCCCCCATGGGAGGGAGGGAGGGAGGGAGCGAGGGAGGGAGGGAGGGAGGGAGGCAGAGGAGGTGTGGCAGCTGTGCAATGAATGTGCCTGACTGTAGCCCATCTTCCTTGATGCCCAAATAGCCCCTTCATGCCCCCCACCCCCAGCTGCCCCAGGACTCTCTCTTGCCGCTCATCCGCCTTACTCCCACTTTTCTCTCACCAGCTTGCACTCCCTCTCTCCTTCTCTCTCTCACACACCCTAACTTGCTTTTCCTTGTGCTTCTGTGCATGGGACGCACTTCCCCCCCTCTTCCTCTCTGTCTTTCCATTCCTCCATCTCTCCTTCTCTATTACCACACTTACCTTCTCTAGGCATTTTCTTCCTTTGTCTTGTTCTCTGTTCCCTTGCAGCACTAACAAGAAGCTACATGCACTTGCTTAAAGCCCTAGGAAGGGGCAAACGGACTTGAGGAGATCTCTGGATAGTGCATGCATTCCAAAGAGAGGGGCAGGAGGGTGGCCGAGAAAGAATGCGGGTGTAAAGTGGCCCACGGTTTGGAAAAGGTTGTCCACCTCTGCCCTACCTAACAGAAGCCTAGGTACACTGACTAAAATAGCAGCACTGTCTTTCCCCGTTTACCCCTGCCTCTACTTCCTTCTTCTATCGTCCATCTTCTTTCTGTGTTTTGTTAAATTGTAAGCCATTCAAGGCCGGGTCTCTCATTCCCATTCTTTGTAAAGCATCGCAAACAAGACAATGCCATATTCATCAACAGCAGCAGCCAGGCTGCTTTGCTTAATATGCAAGACATACCGACCTGATGATCGAAGACGAGCTTAGGGCCACCATCCGCAGCCGTGTCTTCACTTAGCAGCATCCATGTGTTTGTGTCAATGTCATAGCGATAAAAGTCACTTTTCAGAGACTTGCTGTTCCTCACAGAGGAATCTAGGTAACGGCCCAGCGTGTAGATCTGTCGTCGCTGGATGTCAATGCACATCTTGTGACACGACCTGGCACTGGGGCCATTCTGCTGAGCAGAAAAAACAGAACACAAGTTACGCCTGCATGAAATTCACCGATTGAAGTACAACCCATGCACAATGGCCAACAGGGTGCACAAGTCAGAACACTGAAGCACAAGCGCAAAGACCTGGGTTCAAACTCCTGCTCATCATCTATGAAACCTGTTTGGAGAACTTGGCTGGTAAGCTAGCCTTAGTTTAGTCCAGGCGATTGTGAGGGTAACGTGGAGATGGGGAGGCCTTGGAAGAAGGGTGAGATTATGTCAGAAGCACTCATGCCCTGCGGCTATTCAGGGGGAAATGCTTCACCTGTACATCTCCAGAATGTCTCCCCCTGCGCCTCCTTTTAGGCTCACCCCTCCACAGCACCCTTCGGAAGCTGGTCCAAAGCTCGCACCTTGCTTAGGGCAAAGGACCAACTGCCAGTCCCTGAAGCATCATTCAAAAGTGGGCATCAGGAGGACGAACTCATAAGCCACAGGTCTGAGCTGCAGTTTGCAGGAATAAAGGGCTTGTGAGGGGCAGCAGACTTTGCTGGGGCAAAAGCTCTGGGTCGAGAAAAGCCAGTGGGTGGGAAGATTCGGGAGGAGTGGGAAGGCAAGTCCTTAAAAGCAAGGCCTCCTGCGCCTCACCTTGCATGCATTCAAATGCTTACACGGAACACACTGGGCCTTGCAGCTTGCGATCCAGCTAGAGGGTCTGTTTCAGCATGAGCTGGCCCACTCTCTATTACTATGAGCAGCTCCTGGCAACTCCGAATTCCGCAGGTCACATGACGAAGTGAAGCTCTCTTCCACCAAGACAGCTCATTGGCCCACCTGAGCAGTACAGGCACCTTGACTGGCAAGCAGTTCCCTTGCGGGGCTCCAGACAGAGGCTTGTATAGCCCCCACAACCAGAGGTTCCTCTTCCAACCGGGATGGTGGGAAACTCTAGCGGGCACGTACTCCAGTAGTGAGCCGTGCCCCCTCCCAGGCCACCCAGAGTGCAACCCTACGCACGTTCCGGCAGAAAAAAGGCTTTCAACTCCCAGCGGTCCCCAGAGCACCAGTCAAGGTCAAGTTGGTGCATGCGGGCCAGTGGGTAGAGATGCTGGGGTGGCACATGGCAGGATGAGGCCATACCGGAAATTAGGTTCTGTCAGAGGGCAGATTCACTGAGCCCTTGAGCCACCGATAACAAAGGGGGAAATAGTTAAATTCACACGAGGGTGTGCCATTGATCTGCAGCGGCATCTTAAGGGTGTGGAAACAAACATGCACTTACAGAGAAGCGCACAGCCGGAAGCGGCCAAAGCGTTATTCTTACTCCTATATAACCTGACCATTATGTAGCCTCTGCTTAAGAGCGCCTCACAAAGCAGAATTCACCACTTCCTAAAGCCGTGCACTTACACAAGACTGACTCTCACTGGAAGAAGCCAGCACGCACTGGGCCTGAAACTCAAGCTCAGCAGTGACCTTTCCCTCCCAAGCTGTGGGTCGAAGGGGCACGTGACCCGAGGGGCACGTTTCAGAAGGAAGCCGGCTTTGAAGCAGCCTGCTTTGCCCTGATCACTCTGAAGTAGCACAGCCATGCACAAAAGAGGCGAAAGCAGGTGGGCCTCCTCCTTCTTCTTAGCGCAGACCGAGGCTGACCAGCGCACACCGCCTGACACAGACCACGGTCCTGTGCTGGCAGACAAGCTGCACCAGTGGAAGAGAGGAGGTTACTCACTGGATAGTGTCGCTTTTTCTTAAGCATTAGCGAATGGAACTCGCCACACTTGAGCTGAAACTGCTCTGACTGATGCAAGCGCAGTTATGCAAGTATCAGGTTGAGTCTGGCTCAGCTGGTGGAAGCCATGCCCATGGGCACCCTGGCTGCTGGTCCACCCCACAGTTCCCTGAGAAGGGGGCTGAATCTCTGTGCCCTGGATGGAGAGGGTGCTCTACAGCAGTGGGGAGGGAGAGGCCACTCGGTCCTTCAGCCTCCTAATCCCGCCTATGTTCAAGTGGTTTGCACCGCAAACCGATGGGAAAGCCTGCACTTAGCGGCTGAAGAAGGTCTTGCGGGTTTCAACCATGCACACCCACTGCAAAATACTCCTAAGCTGCATGCCCCTGAGGTTCCTTCAGTGTGCATGCCAAGTTCCGGGCATTCTAGTTCTCATGGTCCTGGCGCTATGGCGCGAATGGATAAACAGACACATCCTTCCCTTGGAGATGTATATTCTACCTTTCAGCCCATCAGAAGTTGGCAGGCATCTCACAAGTAAATCAACTACGACTGCACTACAAGTGCTTTAACGGGGCACCATGATGAAGCAGCATCAACTGGCAGCAGAACACCTCTACGGCCTTCTCACAAAACGTATAAAGGAGATAAAGTGGTACCCAGATTGTATCAACTAATACAACAGGATGACTGAACACTCCTCCAAAAGCCAGTGCACATTAAGAACCGGCAAGTCAGAGAGAAGGCCAGCTTAAACCTCCAGCCTTTACATATCCCCGCTTTCTACATGCAGGTATTGCTTCATCCCTGGATGCATTTCATCATCTTCATCACCACCACCATCACCCTCCCATTAGATTTACACCCAACTTTCTTCCTCTTGCAAGGGGCCTAACACGGCGAACGAGGTTCTCCTCCTCTCCAGTTTATCCTCACAACAACCCTGTGAGGTAGGTTAGTCTGAGAGTCCATGACCGGCCCAAAGTCACTCAGTGAACTACGAGGAGGAGCAGGAACTGGGACCCCACATTGTCCGAGTCTAACGCGCATGTCACACTGGCTGCCCTGTAAACCATCACCTGCAGTTTGACCTGGTACACTTTCGACAAAGGTATATCAACTTTTCTTTAGGAGAACTAGGTTTGCACACATCAGCCCCAGCATGAGAACAGTGGAAGCAAAACTTGCTTTCACTCATCTCCTGAAAATCCTAAACAAAATGAGCCTAAAAGGCCCTCCATAAAGAAGAAATTCCACAAGGAATGGGCCAGGCCTTTGTTGCCAGGCAGCCCAATCAACACAAGCCAACCCCAACGCAACTTGTTCTTTTTCACACAAGTGCATTGAGAAGCTAGAGGAATGCAACATGGAACACCCTACTGACCTCTCCTTGCAACATTCAAAGGAATTTTCATTACAAAAAATGTTTCCACACGCAACTCCTTCCTGGAAACCCTTCCAAAGACCTCCCATGGGATTGCTTTGACAGAACTAGCACCAGAAGCATCTATTCATAATTTTTAAGGTGTATATCTGTTTAGCTAGCACTGAAGTGTGGAAGACCCAGACTGGGCTAAAACGGTTAACCCCTACTTTAAATAACAGCAGGTTTAACAGACAGTATTGTGCAAGCTGAGGGGGAGAAGGAGAAATCATTCAATTTTAGGCAGGTTCACCCAACCGGGTAAAAGGCACTGCTTTTAAGACAGAGGTATGATGAGCTTTGTGAACATCTTGGGCCAACAGAAAGACAACAAGTGGGTCCTACTTCCAATCCAGCCAGAACTTTGAGGCAGAAACTGACAAAACTGAGGCTGTTGTACTTTGGGCACATCATGAGAAGGCAAACCTCCTTGGAAAAGATAATCATGGTAGGGAAAGTCAAAGGTTAAGACCGAGTATGGGATGGACTGATTCCATCACCAAAGCCAACCGGCTCGAATTTGGAATTGAGCAGGACTGTCACGTAGAGGAGATTTTGGAAGGCTTTCGTTCACAGGGTTGCCACAGATCAGAGATGGCTTTACAGTACACAACAACAACAACATCATAATGAGCTAAATCATACCAACATTATTTCCTCTACAAAATGCCAAGCAACAAATTACTACAGATGCATTTTTAGGTTGCTGGTAGGGTCATTCTTTGTACTGCAACAACTGTGTGTACCTGCTTCAGAGAACATTTGCAGCCCTGTTTTAGTAAGCAGACAGGAAGAGCTCCAAGCCTCAGCTCTGGCTGAGTAGCTGCACCTCTGGGAAGGCCCCCTTCCCTCGTTGACACCGCGTGTGCTTACTTTTCGCAGAACCATTCAGAAGACACCCTTGGGTATCCGTATCCAGGTAAGCTCAGGCTGAGAGAAGTGCGCCAGCAGGTACTGCCGTCCCCAGCCGCGTAACACTTACGTTCTGATAGCCCATGTCCAACAATCTAAGACGATGCTGCCACCAAGGGATCTGAAATGTTTTCAAGCTTTTGCACTGCATTATCTCCTGTCTAAAATTTGTCTTTTCAGAAAAATTATCTCCCCCATCTCGCTCAAGAGAACCAGGCAGCACGCTTTCATAAATTCCCCGAATAATGTTCCGCACAGAACGTGGGTAAGTTCTCCTAGAAGTTAACCAAGCCACTGCTGCTTCAGCAGTGCATTCATGCAGAGTTGGTCTACCGTCAGCTTTAACTGCGTTGTACAGAAGACTCAAAACACTGATCATCCCTTCCACCTCAAGTCTGTAACTTGCTCTTCCATTTCATGTTCTTGATGAGCTTAGAGGATTCCTTTTTTGGAGGGGGAAGTGTGCCTTCTCACACCGCTACGCCATCTTGCTGGATCCTCTGGCTAAGTCATGCTTGGCCTCGAGTTGCCTCGTGGACTAATGAGCTCCTTCGCAGACTGCTCCATCTCAAAGCAACCCAAGCCATCACGCAGGGCAGGAGCCAAGAGCGACATTACCAGCGAGCAAGACTGACATCAGCCTTTCCTGAGTCCTTGGGAAAACAAACCCTTTTTTGCACCTGGATCACAAGCCATCTCCACAGAGCGAGTGCTTTAACCTTTTCGTTGCTTTCCAGCAGCTGTGTGCTCACTTCCTTACCCCCAGGGCTGGGTGCTCTCAGAATCAAAGGCCCAAATAGTCAAATGATACCTTGGGGACAAACAACTGCAATGAGGACAAATTAAGTTCAGGTTAGGCTGCTGGCCTGAGTAAAAGAGGAAGGTTCTAGCCAATCTTCCTTCCCGGCAGGCTCGTGGTCTGTGTTCCTAGTGCACATCAGCGTTCGAGTATGCAGCTCTTCGCCGGCATTTTGAAGCCGCACAGTCGCCACCACATGTCGCGGCCGCCCATTCCTGCCACAAAGGCCGGAGAGGTGCCACAGGGAGATTTAGCAAAGGGTGCCCCGTGGTCTCTCTCGCAGCAGACACCATCTCTCCTGACTTTTCTGTCCAACTGTGATTTGAAGGAAGGAGGAAAGTTTATACAGGAGCTTCCGCCAAACTCAAGGCATTCCTGCTCTGGGTTTTACTTTTTTACACAGTCCAATAGGTGAAGCTCCCTCCACTACAATTTCAAGCATCAAACAGTATAAAATACTGTATAAAATTTAAATGGTAAACTTAAGAGAATGTAAGACTAAGATTCCTGGAAGAACTCCTGGGAAAATAAGGTCTTCACTCACATGCAGATGGTCTTCTCTTTTTGGCTATAATGCTGAGCGACCACGGAGCTCAGAGGTGATGCACCCCGGGCCCAGGCCAAATCTGGTCTCCCCAAAGTGCCACGCCACCTTTCATAACCCCAAGAATTGCCTAAAAACAATTTAATACAGTAGCAATATCATAAAAACAACAAAGTTGAAAGGAATTTAAAATTTAATTAATTAATTTAGAATAACTTAAAATGGGCAGTAAAATAGAGATGGCGGTGTTGGGCTGCCGGGGTGGGGCACCAGGATCTTATTTCCGGGGACTGTGGCTGCGGTCTTGGGTGTGGGGCAAGTTTGGTGCTGGTTTGGGGTCAGGCTGGGCATTGGTTCCCCCCCACAAGGTTCTTGTGGGTTTATTATTGTAATTTTATTGTTTTTGATATTATCGATATGGGATATTGTTTAATTTGATATTATTCTTTGTTATTTTGTTGTATTATCATTTTTGACATTGTTGTATTTTAATACTGTTGATATCTGACATTTGATATTGCTTGCTGTTTTGACACACACACACACACACACACACACACACACACACACACACAGACTACTTGCATTATGCATTATGGATTTTTGTATACTGTTTTATCATGTATTTGTATTCCATTCAGAGGGCCCTAATGGGCTATGGGGTACGTTAGAGATAGAAACTAAATTGAAATGAAAATTGCAGGTGGCGCACATCCATTTCTCAACTACAAGTCTTAACATTTCCTCTACGTACAGGCTTTCTCTCTTTCCTCCTGCCCACGGAGGTCTCCGGGCCAACACCTGGGCATCACAACTATCACCTGTTCTAGCACTTCTTGAACCAACACCAAAACAGGTCAAAAACACAAGCAAGCTCCATACAGATGCCAAGACACGGTGAAATACATTTGCATAATAAGCTGCATCCACTAGAGTTCTGACTCATTTGCTACCTCCTGGTAATGGGTTTGTAGCCCGGCCTGAACACCCTGGACCAAGTTAAAGTGTGTTCTTTTCCTTCTGCAACCTCAGGGCTGCATCCCAAAGACACTACGGGACAAAAACCCAATATTCATATGACCAGAGTAATGTCTCCTATATATTGATTTTAGATACTGCACGGATTTAATTTTTTTTTTCAATTCTGAAGCTTTGAAATTGGCCAGGCAGCTAAACTTACTGGGTGGCAGCAAAATGCTCTACTATTAATTAAAATAGTTTACGATAAATAAAGGTTAAGACAAAGCAATGGAATGATTTGGCAACTTGCAAATCCGAGAGAAAGGGAGTCATTAAAAGTTGTTTATTTAAAGCCCAAATCCTGTACATGTCTACTCAGAACCATGCCCATGGAATTCAGGACAGTTTTCTCATAGGTAACTGGGCACAGGATTATAACCGAATCCACTCAGGCACAAGACCTGAACAAACATGCTAGAACTCAAAAGCAAAAACAAAAACATTCTTAGAATCCATTCAAAATTCTCAGCTGCTCAGAGGTACAACAGATTGTTCCTTTTAGCAACTTGTTTATGAACATGCTGCCCTTCCTCTTACAGGAACACTCCAAGTTTCTCCCTTGCTGGACTTATTTATCCCAGTCTCTGACCTTAGGCGTTCGTCTCAGATTTCTGCCACTGGACTGAGCTCCTTGGTCTCAAAGCTGGACTGCAGTTCCCTGAGAGAGCCCTCGATTTGCCTGCAAAAGTTTCCAGGTTCAATCTGCAGCGGTTCCAGGTGAGGTGAGGGACCGACCCCATCTGAAACCCTGCAGAGCCTCTGCCAGTCAGAGCTGACCATACTAGGCCTGACTCAGTGCAAGGCAGCTTCCCAGATGCCTCACTAAATCAAGGCGAGACCCGCACCCTCACTCTCCTCCTCCAAAATAGCACTACCATAAGCAACAGCAGCTCCAGATTTTACACACACACACACGGGCACACCCAAACACAATCAAGCGTTCAACATGCTTTATCTACATTAGCCAATTTAAATCCTTCTAACACCTCCCTGAAGTGGCCCGGTATCATCCCGACACTGCAAATAGGACTCCGAGGCTGAGAACACTTCTTAAGCCCCCCCACCCCCAGCAGAGTGCAGAGTCCAGCCACAAAGGCTCCCAGCTCATCCCGCATTTTCTCAGCCACTGCGCCACACAAGCTCGGCCCTTACAGAGAGGAGCAACGTAAGAAAAGCCACACGGGACCAGAGCAGGGGCCACTGACCCCAGCAGTAGGCCTGGATCACAAGCAGGCCATGACTCATTAGCGCCCTCACGCTCACGTTCCCCGGAAACTGGGGTAGGCGGTCGGTCGCACGGCTGGAGGCGGCCTGGAGCCATCAGGACTGGTAGCCACTGACGGCCTTTTCCTCTGTGAATTAATGCCTGCCATTTCCCAAAGTTTCATTTAGCTAAGTGCTGCTCCTACATGCACACTCGGAGCTATTCTGAACTGATGTCCCCAAACCAGCTTTGAAACCTTCAAACATTTTTTTCATTCTGTTCTGCCAAAGCATCTTGTTTATTTCTCCACAATGGAACAGCCAACTTTTCCATCAACTATTATGAAAGACGTTTGAGACCCAAAAGGGTCATGACTTCATATTCTCTTAGCAGGGAGGGAATGTTAGTTTCCGACATAACTAGTGCCTCAAGGCTGAGCTGCAGTTGGCACACGGAAGAACTGTGTTATCTTGGCAAGCACCAGATGCAGATCACACAGTGAGCTCGTAAGAAAACAAAATAAAATACTTGAAACTTGCCTCTTTTTCAGTATCTCTCGATATACACGTCCACTGGTTTTCCTTCACGCTGTATGCCCAGAAGTCAGCGAGGTCCTGAGTCCCATCCCAGCCGCCAAACAAATACACTGTTTCTAATCAAAATTTTAGAAAAAGACATTAATTTGCGAACCGTGTCACTTAGCATATAAACTTCACTGTTAGGATGTTTGCGTGCAACAACACTTTCAGAAATTCAGAACTCACTTCTTCTGGACTATTCTAATTTGCCAGCAGCAAACCCTAGATAGGATTAGGACATGTCTCAGGATTAGGACATGTCTCGAGCAAACAGAAAGGAATTCTAATTGGGCTTGGATAAGAAGTTCCTGGACTACTAGAAGACTTTGAAGGCATCTAGGCTTTGATACTATTTATGTGTTAAAAGAGGCTTAAGTGCCTCCAGGGAATCAATAATAGGATAGTGGGGGGGGGGGGAATAAAAAGCAAAGCTGTACAATCAGATAAAAGAAAGATCCAGGTTTACTCAAGCCTGTGACAATCTTAAAAATCTAGGATTCAAGGCAGAAAACTGCACTGGGACTGCAGGAGAGTTTCTGGAGACGAAGGACCCTGTACAAAGAACAAGAACACGCTGCATCTTCCAGCTTAGCCTGTACTTTAGTGGGTTCTGAGCTCTGCTAAAAGACGGTTAGAACGACATGTTTACGTCCCGTCACCTTAGGCGCTAACAAGCATCAGATCAATTCTGCTTCCATACACCGCACGGCCTCCAGTCATGTCCCACTCACTCTTCCATGCTATCTAGGCAGTTTGGAAAGAAAGGGGCCAGAGGGAGGGGAGGAGGAGCAAGGTCGCCAATGGGGAGAAGGGGGAACCAGCCAAGTCTTACGGAATGAGATACAAAGAGATCCTCCTCTACCAGGGAGAGGGATGAGAAAAAGCGAAGCCACCTTCCAGCAGAATGCCACAGCCACCCCTACCGCAAAACAGCCAAGTACCAGTTATCCAAACAGGGCAGGGAAATTAGTCATGCCAACGTGACTCCCCACCGCACTCTTCCTCCAATTCCAACATCTGAATGCAGCTGAATCTTGATCCTGACCATGCCTCATCTTTGGGTCGGACAAGTAACTAGTGAGCAATAGAAAGTGATACAGAAAGCATCTCCTAAAGGAGTCTGAAACTCACTGCTTTAGCGACCTTTCTTTAAAAGCAACCTTGAAGGATTCCACCCCAGGGCAATTTACTGAAAGATCCTAACGTACTAGTTAAAAGACATCCAGTCAATTTGCCGTATTATACAACAAAACATCAGTTTTAAAAACAGCGCTAAGAGAGATCTTGGTGCTGACCTTTGCCCATACTAACCCTGAGGCTGCTGTTGGCCACTAAAAGGTTATCTTGGGACATTAACTGCAACTGCCCTTCCCTTCTGGACGCAGGGCAGCAAATGTTCTTTGCAAAGAGCAAGTCCTTTTGTGCGCCTCCGTTCTCACAGCCCACAAAACCCACATTTCTCACAATGGCCCGATTGATGGCTAAGGGAGAAAAAACACCAATCTGGCACAAGCCACATATCCTGCCGGGCCTTGGACAAATCATCATGCAAAGCTTAGGGCGACTGTGATGATCTCAGAGAGAAATTAATCGGATGCAAATGGGTGGAAATAAAACCCCCGAGCTTTCAACAGGAGTGGATCACCACAGTCGCCAGCTCATCTCTTAGATGGCGAGTGACAGTAAGTTGTACGTCTGCTCTGAATCCTACTCCGCAACAGCACCACAACTCGTAGGCAGAGCCTTTGCCTCTGTTCTGCAGAAGGAGCCTCTTTTCCTGCCTCCTCAGCTGATCGCTCCTTGCTCCTTTCCTTTCCGACTTGGTGCTATAAATAACAAAAGTTATTCTTGGTCCCCAATTGAACGCAACAACTACAGAGCAAACACTGCCCTGTAATAAAGCATTATTTTAACATATCTGTTTGTTCTAGCACTTACAGCTATTCCTCTGGCCACATTCCAGCATTTAAAGTCTGCATTTCAAAAATCAGAAAGGTCATCTTAGTCCCACTGTTCTGGAGGCACCCCACCCTCACCCCCACCCCCACAAGGTCCAGCCTTTCATTCAGGTTTCCAAAAGAAAGATCACATGGTGTCCCTGAGCAGCATGTTCCATCGGCAAATTGCTTTTAATTAGAAAGAGCTTCCTAATGTTTAACATAAAGCTCTTCATTTTGCCTGAATCTCATTTCTCTCCATCCCAGTGGGTCAATATGGTGAACACTTGTTCTTCCTTTGAGGACACTTTTTCAAAATAGTTGAGAGGCTATTAACACGTTCCTCAGTATTTCTTCCCTTTTAAGCCAAAAATTATTTCTATCGCAGGGGCTCATAAAGGAACCCTAAATGCCACAGAGGTTTTCTAACGCACAATCAAAGTCCATGGCCCACACAATTACATTCAGAGCTGGCTCTTAGCTAATTAACCATTTGTCAGACTCACCTCACTGGAATTCACTGTATGTATAGATTCATTATACCATTTCTATACCAACCCATAGCTAAAGCTCTCCAGACAGTTTACAATAATTCACAGAATACAATAAAATGCAGTACAAAATGTTCTTCTACTAGATGGAACTAAAATAAGCAAAGCTCTTAGCTTCTTATCCTGAAAGTATTCTAGACATGTACCATTCCAAAATAAGCACTGCCAGAACAGTTCAATCCATTTCTTATACTTCAGCCTCTTCTCCGTCTCTACCATCTCCCATGCCAATTACTTTAATATATAACATCAAGCATTGTGTGAGAGCCTGTGTAGCAAAGGGGAGAGAGTGCTGGACTTGGGAGATCCAGGCTCTAGTTCCCACTCAGCCATGCCGCCAACCTGTTGGGAAGCCTCTCCCAACCACCATCAACTGACCCAGAGACTCCACGCTTGGCCTCGGGGGCCTTCCTCGGAGTGCCAATCCCAAGGGAGGCTCAGAGGACGGCGGCAAGGGGGAGGGCCTTCTCTGTGGTTGCCCCTCATCTCTGGACCAACCGACTCACCTCACCCCACCTGGTGCCAAACTTGTCCTCTTTTCCGCGCCACTGAGGCCTTTAAAGATCTACTTTGCTACCCAGGAGTTTGAGGGAATTATCCAGATTATTCTATCCCTTAGCAGGGCTATTTTTACTGTAAGTTTTTTTTTTTTAGCTATTGTAAATTAATTTCAATGTTATTTCGCTTTTATTATGTTGGCATAGTTTTTATTGCTTTGCTTTAGGCATTGCTGGAAACTGTTCGGAGTGCTTTGGCTACAGGGCTGAAACGAAAACCACCACCACCACCACCACCACCAACAACAACACCAACAACAGTGCTCACTGGGCGATTGTGGGCCAGTTACAGCAACACCGTCACCACTTTTCAGTGTTGCCCCCAAGTGCACAAAGCCCTCCGTCCCACAGTCCAGTTACCAGCTTCCTTACTCTAACACCACATTCAGCAGCTTTTGGGGTCGTGTCCCCTGCTGATGCTCCCAGAGAAAAGGAAGTACTCCTTGAGAGCGTGAATCCACTTCCGTGAGAGGCACTGACGGCCACCGACGGGAAAGGCTGTAAAAGGGGACTTGGCAGATTCCTGGGGAGAAAATGTTCTGTGCCTATGAGTCCTGACTGCCGTATGCTAGATAGGATGCCAGGCACATCCTGAGCATGGCTGAGGAGCATGCTTGGGAGATGCCACTGCGTTTCCCACAAGCAGCCACCTGGCCACTGTGCAGCGGCCAATGGAAACCACTTCCACAGGAGAGATGGCCCAGCGAAGTGGACGAGTGTGGAGGAGCCAGGAACTCTGCAGCTGAGCCAAGCTTAGGATTATCTGTCTGTCAGTCAATGGCCTTATGTCCACCCCAGCACCAAACCAGCGAGGGTGAATTGCCTTGCCATTTCAACAGGCACGGCCTTGTTTGCATGTTTCTGCACAACCACAGAAGCTAGAATTTTACTTTTTAAAAAACAGATGGAATTCAGAAAGCCAAACTCAGTGCACTCTACCACGGACCTGTGGCCCTTCTTAAAATAGTGATACTAAAACCTGGAACAGTAAAACAGCAATGAAAACCGTCCTAGCACAATAAAGAATTCCAAGGAGCAGAAGCCAATTTCGCCAACAGAAAATCAAACGCTCCACAAACACATCAAAACAGATGCATCTGCAGCCTTCCCACCCACGGCCAAACAACAGCATGGAGCCCTGGCACCCAAACTTGCACCGGGAGAAATTCCCTGTTTCTGAAGCAACTGCGTTAAAAGGAATGGCTCGTATCTGGAGCAAGGCTTGATTAGTGGATTAGTTGCTCAGGTGGGGACGGAGGTGATGCTCCATGAGATATTAAGCTCTGTGTTTGTTTGAGGCACAGTCCTGACCTTTGGTTATGAAAACACGCTGCTGCATTGCTAATTGCAGCGCTGCTGACTGGTTATGTAAGGTAACTTTGACAGGCGTTACCCGCAGCTCCGCAGCACTGCCAGTCCAGAGCACACGCTGCATCTCGCATGCATGAAGCTGACAGGAGGCTCTTGCATCGCCAAGCACCAAACGAAATCCTGAGATGGAAGCGCACCATACATGCCATCACTCAGCAGCAGGAGTCCCTTGGAAGTGGCTGCCCGGTACAACAAATGCTGATTCATCCCACACAAGCCATACTGCTATTAATAGTTTCGTAAAACCATAATATTTTATCTTATTGGTGGTGGGAGGCCCCCTTTGGGATCCCGTGCAGTCTTTGCACTGGCTCAGCCTGCCCCCCTCTGTTTGGTTTTGCTCTGTTCTCAGATTTATACCCATAATGAGAAGGGAAGCATATGCATGGAAAGAGAACAAGGTATAGACATATGTGGATTTTCTTCACTTGAGCAAGTCCCTTCCACATTAATTAAAGCAGAATAGAATCCAATTTATTCAGCAGACCTAGCAACGCAGAGGATGCCTAGGATAAAAGAGGGAGGCTGGGATGAAACAGGCCTATGCCAAGTTCTGTGGATCAGATATTCTTTATCTAATACCATTATCAAGGGTGGAGAAGCACAAGCTGCTGTTCTAGGCAGAAAACAGACCTCAACATTTAGCAGTTTTCAGAAT